GGTGAGATTTGAACCGCTGAACTGCTGATCTAGCAGTAGCCTGCAATGCTGCATTTAACCACTGCGCCACCTTGGCTCTACTCATGTCACCTACCGAAAAAAGACAGAAAGAAAGGAGAGAGAGAGGAAAAGCAAAGCAATATATATACTGGTCTTGTTTGTATTTGGGTCTTTTCCCGTGTAATATTGAGATTGTCGGCAATGTTTTGGCAAGGTGTCACTCGCCATCTTCAGGCCAAAAACACCAGCCTGAAGATGGCGAGTGACACCTCGCTGAAACGTTGCCGAAAAGACCTGAATACAAGACCAGCATACCTACACGAAAATCTACGAGTATGTATGTATGTATGTATGTATGTATGTATGTATGTATGTATGTATATGTATATATGTATATATGTATGAAGAAATCACACCTCTTTTATTTTTAATCTTGTGAATTTGCTCATGGAAGTTCTTTTGCCCATCTCAGTTTACAGGAACAGATTTGCTCACAAGCCTGTGTTAAAGCTTAAGCCGACACTGAATGACCTTCAGGTGAACTGCTTGGTGCAGACCACTGAATGGAGTGTCTGTTCTAAGACTTGTGGGATGGGCATTTCTACCCGTGTGACCAATGACAACCCTCAGTGCCAATTGGAGAAAGAGAGCAGGCTGTGCTTGGTTCGATTCTGCAACATCCCTTTGGACCGCAGCATCAAGGTACTGTGGCAGTTGAGTGAAGTGGGTGTCACATATCAACTTCTTCAAGAGGCTGGGAGCAGAGTTGGCAGGGACTGGAAATGATGGAGACAAGTTGGATAGTCTATGTCAAGAATCTCCTGAGTTTTTAGTAGGCTGAATTGAACTAATTTTCATTGGGGTAGCAAATATATCTGATTGTGCATTACAGGGAGGAGGATACATCTGGGAGCTGAATGGCTTCCTTAGACCTGTGGGAGGGATGGCAGAGAATGGGGGTGTTGGTTTGATGAGGGAAGGGGCTAGCAGTGGTATCTTGGTAGTGATGGACAGAGGGACATGTGACAAAAGACAAGGTGGTGGTGTCTAGTGTCAATTTTGCCTTTCAACCTCTAGACTGAACCCCATTTCCTGGTCATCAGATCCTCAGTGGGCCTAACTTAGGTTGCTGCCTCTTAAAGCCTAGTTAGCCTGTAATGAGATAGTCATCATTCTGGTCTTTACCATTTCTCCATGTTTGCTCCCTAGCATAAGAAGATCTATTTGATTGGTATTCCCAAACATCTGATGGACCCTATTGATTTTCAGAGGAAGTTCTCTGTAGGACCTGGTGCATGGGTTGGCCAAAATCTTAGTCATCTCTTGGAATGAGAGGGTAGCAACAGCCTTGGATTGTTTTGTACCCATTGTATTTATTTTAATTACATCACTTGGAAGAGGTTATCAAGGCACCTCAGTCCAACCTCTTTAGCCTTCCAGATTAAAACATCCTTGACAAATTCTGTCCATCGTCTCCAGCAAAGGGGAAGCTGGAGCACATATTTTAGTATGTTTTAATTTTTTGGGGGGGGGATATCCATTCTGAAAGATCCTTCAGAGGGTGATGGGCTTGTGGCTTGGTTTTTTTTTTTTCCATAATAAGCGTTTTGTAAGTAGCACAAACAAACTGTAGAGCTGAGAGAAAATGTGCTTCTGAATTGTATTTTTCATATTTATGCCCTGCTTTTCCTCTTAAAAATTCAAGGTAACATTCTCACAGTGTAGATGTTATTTTCATAATAAAACCATAAAGTGTGTTTGGGTGAGAATAACCCAAATGGCTGAGCTGTTTAAGTAACCCTAAGGACAGGTAGCTGTAATATGTAGTCAAGGCATTTCAGGTTTCTGGTACTGAAAAATAAAGCATTTTCAGAACCCCGGAGAGCTCCATGCAAGAACACTGTTTTTAAAATTAACTATCATTGTGAAAATTGTTGTTTTGGCATCAGTCTAACCAACACCTTAAAACAGTGCTTCTCAATCAAGGCACTTAAAAATGTGTGAACTTCACTGCTGAGTGTATATCACCATCCCCCCGACATTTTATGAACTTTTTGCAACCCTGATGTGTTACATACCCAGAAAGATTTCACAAAGTTGTTAAAAGTCTGTAGAGATTCTCAGTCATCCAGGTCATGGTTGTCCCAAATATGCTTTTTCAGGAGGCAACTGAACTTTTTTCTTTGTTTCACCTCATCCAAGAAGCTTCTTCAGCTCTGAAAATTCTGAAGAAGCTTCTTGGATGAGAAGCGAGACGTCTTCAAAGAAAAAAGTCCAGATGCCTCCTGAAAAAGCACCTTTGGGACACAAAGTTGTTAGTTATCTGAAGCTGAAATCTGAAAGCTTCCCGGTTTTCCCCATCTAATTGAAAGTTTAAGATCTTGCCCCCACATCCACAAGTCCATCACATGGTCCAATCTTCCACTGGCATGCTGGCAGTTCCACCCATTCAGTTCTGGTCAGGTGCAGTGACAAAGGATGACCTTGGCTTTCTAGAAAGGAATTTTGATATGGCTATATAGCATCTAACTCCGTACAATCCCCCCCCCCATTTTCCCACAATAGAAAATGCATAGTAGAGTAATAGAAAGGGTGGCAGGCCAAAGATCCAAAAGAAAAGGTGGCTGCAGGCCTGACATTGGGTCTGCCTGGGAGGGCAGCTCCATCCTTCTCTCCTTCTGATGCAAAGTCATATGTCATAGTTTTGATGGTATGACAACCATCAGGTTGAAAAAGGCTGGGATAACTCAGAACCCATCCAAGGGATTTGCGCGTCTCTAATCCTTCTTTCTTTCCAGAGAGGGAAGAGGTGCTGGAGAAACCCTAAATCTCGTGAGGCGATCAACTTTGAGTTCACCGGCTGTACCAGCATCCACTCCTATCGGCCAAAATTCTGTGGCAGCTGTACGGACAATCGCTGTTGTATGCCACGTATCACCAGCACAGTGGAAGTGGAATTTCGGTGCCCAGAAGGAGAGTCGTTTGTCCGGAAAATGATGTTCATCCAATCTTGCTCTTGCCACTATGACTGTTCTGCAGGTCATGATGTCTTTCTGGCCAGTTCCCACCGGTCAATGGTAGGGGACCACGTCAAACTAAAGAATCAGTAGTGCTTCTCCCACTCTAGATCCAGCAGGCTGAAAGCGTCTAAAGATGCATTTCTGATCATCTTTTAGATGAAATGGAAATGATCTCAAATGATCCAAGAGATCTCATGTCCAGAGACCAGTATCACAGGTGGGTTGCTGCCAATTCGGCCC